TTACTAATTTACGATTTATCGCATTTTGTTTTTTTCTTCTCTGTAGCATAACAAAGCTGTCATCAAAATTGAATGATACTTTAGAAGTGATAAAGACGATAAGGAATTTTTGTAATCTCTGTCACATAACAAAACTGTCATCAAAATTGAATGATACTTTAGAAGTGATAAAGAAGTTTACGCTTATTTCAAACATCATCTTACTATATATTTCATTTCTTATCCAATAGTAAAATAATAAAATACAACAAAGTCCAAAATTATTATTAATTTTTTTCGATTATAACTTTTTCAAATTTTTTAAACGAAAATTTTATTTTCCAAATTTTTTTGCAATTTCAAGAATTTCATCTTTTCCATTCAAACTATCAAAGATAGTCTTTCTAAATGGAAATAAAAGTAAACGAAAGCAAAGGAAAAGTAAATTTAAAATATATTGGAAGTAATAATAAATAAATTTCATAGCTTCTCTTCTTTTCTTTTCTCTTCTCTTCTCTTTTCTTCTCTTCCCTTTTCTATCTTTTAAAAAAATTCAATTTATTTTCATTTCTCTTCTTTTCCTCAAAACTGCCTTAAAAAAAAGAAGATGAAATATATGAATTGAAATGACAAGCCTTCAGTTTAAAAATAAGGAATACAAATAATTGCAGGGCCTAAAATCTCATTTACCCTAAAAGATTCTCTTAACTCATTTCTTATCATGTATTTTAGAATTTAAATAATTTAATGCTAAAGCGAAAAATTTCAACAAAATACATTATTGGAATAATTTCTTCCTTTCTTCGTTTTTTTGTTTTAATTAAATTAACTTAATTTGCATATATTTAATGGCTTCCTATAATTGTATGTAAATTTTAGCAAAATCAAATTTATTACTTTTTTGATTTAAATAAATTTTCAAATGCCATTTATTTCCTTTTTTTTTAAATTATGCAAATAAGCAAATCAAGTTTATTTTCCTAAAATAAAAAAAATGAAGTAGGCTTTTTGATAGGTTTTCAGGCCTCTTATAAATTCTAAAGAAATGTGCCTGCATTTTTTTTGCATATTTAAAATAATGTAATTTACTATTGGAGGAAATGAAGATAAGATAGAGATTAAGATCATTGGATGCCTTTGTCAATTAAGTTTTATTTTTTGATTTTTGAAGTCATCAAAGATAAAACTTAATTGGCAAAGGCATTCCTAACTTTCTCATACATTCTTTTGATTAAATCTCACTTAAATTAATGAAATTTTCATTTTTTAAGAGCTTGTTGCATAAACTTATCATTTAAGTGCCAGCTGAGCTCTTTTTAAATAATTCACGCATGCAATAATAATTCATATTATTTTTCCGTTTCAATCTTCTTGTTTAAATATTGTTTAGCAGACGTAACAGAATGAGAATCACAATGATATCATTGACAGTTATATCATTTTTTTTTAAGGGTAAAGTTATCAATAATAATGTTATCGTTATCAAAAGTTACCAACAATAGTATCATTTACCATTGATGTCACTATTAATGTCATCAATAGTATCATTTACCATTAATGTTAAAAATTACCATTAATATCATCGTTATTAATACTTACCAATAATAATATCATCATTATCAAAAGTTATCAATAATGATATCATCGTTGTCAAAATTTAGAAGCATTAAATTTTTTAGAAGCAATAAATTTTCAATCCATCTTACGATCAATTTTTATTCAAAAAAATTTCCATCAATTACTTCAGTAATTATTTTTGGTTAAATTCATTCATAATTATATATTAAGAAAATTTTTTCTTTCCTATCATTTATTTTTAAAAATCTTTTCGTATATAATCTAAAATAAAAAAATTGTGTCGAAATTATTGTAAATATTTGAAGTTGTAAATTGTCGAAGAAATCTTTTACTAACAAAATTCATTCATTGTTTTTAGCAAATAATTAAAAAAAATTTTGTTAATTCAAAAATCATCAAAATGAATAATTAAAATTTCTAAAAATTGAACTAATTAAGTTATTGAAGTAATTTAATTTTTGGAAAATTGCAACTTTTCACAACAAAGTATTATAAATGAAAGTGAAAGAATTTTACGCTTATAATAATTCATATCTTTTGTTTTTACGTCCATAAATTTTGAAGGATTAAAAGTTCTCGTCTCATTCAATTGAAAGCAATTATTTTTCGACAGTGTTGTTGGTGACACCTATAACAAATATATTCTTTCTTCCATCTCTTCCACTCTTTCTCAATTATAATAGGATTGATATGTGTTTCTTTTCTCTCTCTTTTTATGTTAGACAATGTTTTTGATAAAAAAGAAATATAATTACAAGCATTATTAGATTATTCTAATTATTAGTAAATGAGTTAATCGATATTATATCTGTTAGATGTTCGATCATTGCATTGAAAATATCTCACTTTTAATAGTTTAAAATTTGTTGAATTATTTTATTTAACAATTTTTTCTATTTTAATTTTGTTGTATAAATAATAAAAAGAAAAAGAGAAATAAGAGAAGAAAAGAAAAAAAGAACATTAGATTTTGTTGTGATAATATCATGAAAAGTTACGTGAGATCATGTCACGTGAGATGATAGCAATAGTATTCAAATTAAATCTACATATCATCAAATTGTTCTGGCTCTCACGAGAATAAACATTCCTATGAGTTTGAGAGTACTTCTCTTGCAATACAATCCATTGATATCTTACTCTCCAAATACTACTATATTTTAATTTAATCGACATATTTTATTTTTTTATTTTAATTTAATCGATATATTTTTAATTAATATTTTAATTCAATCATATATTTTAATTTAATCATTAATTTTCATTTCTGAGGTTATTTTTATCAGTTAAAAGTTAGTTGATTTTACCAAAGAAAAATTAATAATTTAAAATTTAAATTTAAATTACATTAATTTAAATATTATCACTAAAATTATTTGTTAACAAAAATATATGAATAGTAGTATATGAATTTGATGAGAAAACTTTTAGCATATTTTTACGATTATTTTGTTACTTCTAAATATTAAATATCATATTGTGAAATATTTGATCTTAGGAGAGAGAGAGAGAGAGGGAGGGAGTGAGTTAAATATCATATCATGGAGTATTTGATATTAGGAGAAAGAGAGAGAGAGAGGGAGAGAATGAAGAAGCGACTAAAAATATTTATTTTTTTTCATCCATACTTTAAAAGAAACTATTATTCAGTTGTTGACAATAATTCAATTGTTGACAGAAAAAGAGACAATGTGAAATCTTTTCTTGAAGAGATAATTTTTGAATATTTCAATAAGTATATTGCCTTTTCAGTTTTACTGCGAATAGTTTGCTGTCATCTATTGGTTGACTTATTTACATTTCATATTTTACAACTTCTTCCTTCCAATTCAATATCATGAATGATTTAGATTTTTGAAGAGTTACTTCTAGTAAATATAAAGTTTAATTCTTGTTATCACTAATATTATTATTATTAACATTAGATCAACAAATTGATTTTATCATGCATTATCACTAACATTAAATCAACGAATTTAGTTTTATCATGCATTATCATTAATATTAAATCAACAAATTGCTTTTATCATGCATTATCATTAACATTAGATCAACGAATTTAGTTTTATCATGCATTATCACTAACATTAAATCAACGAATTTAGTTTTATCATGCATTATCATTAACATTAAATCAACGAATAATTTTATCCTGCATTATCACTAGCATTAGATCAACGAATTAGTTTTATCATGCATTATCATTAATATTAAATCAACAAATTGCTTTTATCATGCATTATCATTAACATTAGATCAACGAATTTAGTTTTATCATGCATTATCACTAACATTAAATCAACGAATTTAGTTTTATCATGCATTATCATTAACATTAAATCAACGAATAATTTTATCCTGCATTATCACTAGCATTAGATCAACGAATTAGTTTTATCATGCATTATCATTAATATTAAATCAACAAATTGCTTTTATCATGCATTATCATTAACATTANTTATCATTAACATTAAATCAACGAATAATTTTATCCTGCATTATCACTAGCATTAGATCAACGAATTAGTTTTATCATGCATTATCATTAATATTAAATCAACAAATTGCTTTTATCATGCATTATCATTAACATTAAATCAACGAATTTAGTTTTATCAATGTATAATTTAATAAAACTTCAAAATATATACGTAATTAATTTAAATGGAATATCTCCAATTTTTCTCGTAGAAAATTCGACTAAGATCCTAATTATGCCTAATTCTGTAATTTATGAAGAACTATAGGATTTACAGAAAAGAATATGAATCATTTGTATCGTATCATAATAAATTTGTTAAATTTAGGAAATCGTTGAAAAAGAAATATACTATGAAAAATAAAATTTAATATTAAAAAAAAAGATTAAATTTAATTTGTTCATTAAAATATATTTTAAAATATAACGAAAGTATTATTTTGTTTGCTCTATTTTATCCGATATGATAATTGAATTTTCCACTCTTCAATAATTTAAAGATCTTCTTTTTCCCTTTTATTCTTATCACCATTTTTAATTTAATTTAATTTAATTTATAAAATTAAAAGGGAGGAAAAAAAAGGCATACTAATAGTTTTTGTTTTTTCAGATACAATGAAAAAATATCGTTTAGTTTTTGGCTGTCAATAATATTTTCAAAAATTTTTAATGAGAAAAATATTGTTTTTCTTTTTGGCGTAAAAGATAACTTCGAATAAAATTTCTAAAGAAATGAAATTGCAGTAAAAATTTTCTATTCCTTTGCAATTTCTATCAATCAATTCAATTTTATTATTAAAATTTTTTTCCTTTAAAACTGATAAAATGATAATTTTGTTAAATTATCAATTATTTGTAAATAAAATAATATTTTTATTAATTTATTAAATTACCAATTGTTTTTGTAAATAAGCAAATGAATTTAATTAATAATAAATTCATTTAATTTTTAGTTTTTTAAATGGATTGCGAACATCGCGTTATATTGAATGTGGGTGGAATACGACATGAAACATATACTCATGTACTTAAAAAAATTCCAGCAACAAGACTATCACGGTTATTTCTAAATTTTTCCATCATAAAATTTATATAAATGGAATAGTTAAATTTATGCATTACAAATTTTTAATTTCTGATTCAAATGAAATATATTAATTAATTAATGATATTAATCAAAATGTTCAAGCTTTTTTTAGGCTAACACCAAATTTAGCAAATTATGATCCTGTATTAAATGAATATTTTTTTGATCGTCATCCTGGTGTTTTTTCAATGATTTTAAATTATTATCGAACAGGTGGATAATTTTTTATTTTCTTTTGAAGAATATCAATTTAGAAAAGTTCTCTCAAAAAATTTGTAAATATTATTTTGAGCATTTTTTTCTTGCTTTATAAATTTTTAATTAATTAATTGTCTCATTGCTAGGTAAATTACATTATCCAACAAATGTTTGTGGTCCATTATTCGAGAATGAATTGGAATTCTGGGGTTTAGATGCAAATCAAGTTGAACCCTGCTGCTGGATGACATATACACAGCATCGGTAAAAATTCCCGGAAAATTTATAATAGCATTCTATTGCTAATTTATAATATGGGTTTTTTTTAATTTAAAAATTATTTGAAAACTTCTATTATATATTTTATGAAATGAAGAAAATCTGCTATCCTAAATGGTATAGTATTAATTTCATAATGAGATTTGACATCGAAAAAAATTATATCTATTAAAAAAAGAAGAGCTTATATCTTCATTGATTATAACGAATGTACGTATTACACTTATATATATTTTCAATTATAAAATTGTCGAAATATTTGAAAAGCATTTAGAGACACCCAAGAAACGTTGGCGGTTATCGAAAGTTTAGACTTAGATGCTGATCCACCAACTCAAGAAGCAACGGCGAGAAAATTTGGCTGGGAGGATGATTATTACTCAGGCAATTTATCGAAATGGCAACAGTTGAAGCCAAAAATATGGGCTCTATTTGATGAACCTTGGTCTTCGCAATATGCTAAGGTAAATTAAACTTATATAAACTTACGTAAGATTTAAGAAAGTTTATAAATCTCAAAAAAAGCGAAAAAATGTACCATATGAGAAGTATTTATAAATTAAATTAACATATATTCAAAGAGTGAATAAAATACTTCTTTATCCGCTGAAATTTTAAAGAATTCATTAAATTTCAACGGCTATCTTTTTCCAATTGCATCATTGTTTAAATAAATAATGGGAAATATTAATAAATGTTGTTTGCATGCTATCTTTGTTGTTATTTGATAATTTAATTGATAAGTAGTAGTAGTTGTAGTAGTGGTGATGATAATATTGATGTTGTAGAAGTATGATTATTTCTGTTTATTTCCCTAAGGATTGCAATTCCATTTGCATGTTTCAAAGTTTTCGAATAAAGCTTAAGCATGCCCATAGTTTGTTAAAAGCTTGCTTGAATTAATCCACAAGTAAGAATTATTTTTATTAAATTCAAAAAAAATTAATTGAAAAAAATGTTAAGAACTTCAAATTTAGGCAATTTTTGAATTTCACTTTTATTTTTTGCTCTTATTGAATTGATATTATTTAGATTACAAAAATTGCTCAAATTTATTTCATAAGATTATTACAGGTATTAATTATTTGAGTGTTTATTTGATTTGCATAGCAGGATATTTAAATTGATTGAATAATCAGTAGGAAACCTTTGCAGAATTTTGCAAAAAAACGCCTGTGCAAAGTATTCCTCAAATGGTTAAAAGGTTATGGAAAATTTCAATAATTTCTCTGAAATAATATGAGAAAAATTCGAGTGCAAGCTTGTATGTTATCAGCAGTATATTATCAATTAATAAGCAGTATATTATTTTAAAAATATACTGTTATTAATTGATAAGTTCAACAATTGTAGTGTAGTCATGCTATTGAATTTTGTTGATGGTGCTCTAAAGGCTTTCAGATGATTTCATGCTCTTCTATATTTTTCATTATCCTCAGTGTCGTTTCATTTGTTCTCAAAACACATCCTGCATTCCAGATACCATCAATTACAGGTCAGCAAAGTTCTTTCATTTCAAGTCAAAAAAATTATATATTATAATTTTATAGTGCAAAAAAAATTTGTACATTAAAAAAACTTAGATACTATCACAGAAAAATCTAGCAAACAACAAATTATAAATCATTACACATATGGTGCTAATAGAAAAATTTTAAACAATGAAATCCAATGTTATGATTTGAATTTTATTTGTAATTTTTCTTTCTAATTTTATTCAACAATTTTGACATTTTCAGTATCATATAATACAAAAGTTGGCAGCGATGATATCCAATCGATTGCTACATTTAAGCAATTTACCACTGCGCATCCCGCATTTTTCTGCATTGATCTCATGTGCAATATATATTTTAGCGCTGAACTTGTTCGTATAAAAATACCGTTTATTAGCACTTTAATGATTAAGGCAATGATATCAACAGCATGAGAATTGAGTGATGGAAAATATTATTTCATGATTAATTAATTAGTATAAAGAACCAATTCATATTTGTCAAATTGATGGCATCGGACTTCTTAAAAAAAAGCAGCACATTAATTTGAAATATTACCTAATTATTGAATTATCTAATTATTGAAGTATCTGTTTGATCAACTGATCTTAATCGGTCACTCTTTTTTATGTTATAAGCAATTATTAGAAATATCAGACGAATTATATAAAATTATTCACATTTTCAGCGTAACTAATTTCTAAGCTTTTAGATAATTCGTATGATATTTGCGCCATCGTTGCAACGATTCATTAAATCACCAATAACAATTGTCGATCTGTTAGCAACAGGATTTTTTTATTTTAATTGGTTTATGATCTGTTTTATAAGCGATAAACTTAGCTCGGATTCCATCGATTTCCTATCTATTTTATATGTTCTAAGATTATTCAAGCTCACTCAACATTTCAGTGGTCTTAAAATACTCACACAAACATTTAAGGCAATTTAAAAATTTCATTAATTCAACTTTTACAAATAAATAAATTCCATTATTTTCAGTATAATTCAAGGTAGTAGAATATTGTAAAATGAAAAAATGGCATAGTTATTTGAAAGAATTCTTTGTACTGCAAATTTATTCTAAGCTAGTTTTTGTAACTTCAAATGTGAAACATCGATTAATTTGTGTTTCAATTTTTCATTCAAATATTTCAAATTCCTTTCTTCAAAATAAACTCATATCTTCACTATAGGCATCAGCACAAGAGTTGCTATTATTGGTATTTTTTGTGTTATTAGCGATCGTAATATTTGCTGCACTTGTCTATTATGCTGAACGAATCGGAAATAATCCACAAAATCAATTTACTTCAATACCTGCCGGTTTGTGGTGGTAAGTTTACTTATTCGTTCTGTCTTTTCCATATTCTATCTCTTCTATCTTTGATCAAAATTATTTTGTGAATTTTATTCTATTTAATGGATTAAATTAACATTCAGGGCAATTGTAACAATGAGCACAATTGGATTCGGTGATATGGTAAGCTGAAATTAACGCTTATCTCATAGATCAGCTTAAATGAATCAATTTAAACTGACAATAAATATATTCTATTATTTCCAATTTATTTTAAAACTAATCAACTATTACTATCAATTCTCTGATCATTTTCAATTTCATCTGAATTAAAGGTTTCCATATTAAGCTGTTGCCAATTAGTCATCACTATTTTTTTAATTATTCATCAACAGCTACTTATTAAAATTCTTAAATATTTCAATTTTTCAGAGATAAATCATTGAAGAAGCAATTAATTTTACAGGTACCTAAGACATATTTGGGTATGTTAGTTGGTTCATTATGTGCACTAATGGGTGTGTTAACTATTGCATTACCAGTGCCAGTTATCGTTGCTAACTTTTCCAATCTTTACTCTCATTCGCAAGTAATTTTTTTTAATTTGTAAAAATTGCAAGAAGCATAGAGTAAGATTCATTTTGTTCCAGAATTTCCAAAAAAGAGAGTTTAAATTTTTATTTGATATTTGCATTTATTGTTGATTGTTGCGCTTCTCGATTCCTTTATAACATTTCGTTGTTCCATTAGGATGTTGCTTGCCAACTGACAGCTTATTGAAATCGCAGCGCATATTGTCCGATCTCGAAATGTACCGAATTTGTCTCTGACTTTTTTACAGGATTTTCATCAATCTTAATCTTGAGTGACACCAAAAATCAAAAGTTTTATTAGAATGATAGCTGCTTCTTCTTTTATTCTTTAAGATTAAAATTCAAAAATTAGTATTTAATTTTAATTGGTTGAGATTGAAACTTAACCGTTAATATTTGTTCTTATCAAGTTGAGATTTAAATTTAATCGTTAATATTTGATTTTGACAGGCTCGTGCAAAGTTACCAAAAAAAAGGAGGCATGTTTTGCAAGCACGTGAAATTGAAAGATCGCTTAAATTTCCTAAATCAGTGAAGAAATTACAGGAAGAAGAAAATGAGGTTAACTTAGTTATTCACTAACTTTTTAAATTCATATTTTATTCTTCACTGTTGTTAATGCTATAAATAAAATCGATTGCTTTTTTAATTCAAGTTTTATTTTCCTACTAACTTATCCGTGATAATAGCTTTATTAATTCACTCAATGTATATTTTAGTTTTCAGAATCATTGACATTCTCGCAACTCAATGTTATTGAATATCAAAATCGAATTCCGTGGCTGAAGTTTGCATTTATTCATCAAGCAATTCTTGTTTGGAAAAAAATTTGATTGCTGTCAAGTGATGGAATAATGAGATAAAATTTGATTTCTGCCATTTTCAGAAATTATCTTCAAATTGTATTCATCGTTACTTCCACAATCCACTCAATCAATCTTATATTTAAGCTCTGCGATAAGAACACTTCATCCTATTCAAACACATTTTTTCTCGTCATTCGTGCTTTAAATGTGATTTTGTTTTTTCACCACTTGTAGATCCGTTTCGATCTCTTTCTCATCATCAGTGCACTTTTCATCAATACTGTTTGTTTTGATTTAAATTAAACCATATGCTTTTTATATCATTTCAATTACTAAGAAATAAGATTTACACATATAATTAGAAGGCGGCTAAAGAATTTAATTATCCAATCAATTTGATTTCGTTGATTCGGCTGTCAATTTTTGGTACATACAATTATATGCTTTTATCTTGTTTTCTTTTTGATGCATTGTACACTTAGTGATTGATAATTTTTTTCTTTGTTACAGTTTTATGGCAATAATGAATTTTGCATATTTCTCCTCGAAGTCAATGAATTTGGTATTTAAAAGAACCGGAATTGTGGTACCATATGATATCTTACTACTTAGTTATCCAATGGATACCAAATACGCAGAATGAATACAGTGGACTTATAATGAAGTTTATAAATTTTATATAAATATATTGAAATAGTAATTAATTAACGAGTGAATGCAAAGAGATGAAAAGAAAAAATAAATTAAGGCATATTCTTTCTACTATCTTCATCGTGATTTGTTTTCGGTAACCTCAAAGAGGCAGTTCAACACGAAGTTATCCTATATATCATTGATTGCTTCTGAATACAAGATTTGCTTTTCCAAAAATATGTCAATCGATCCTCAAAATGTTTGAATGCACTTGTCTGACATTAGAATAATGCATGCGTTTATCAAATTCTCAAAGTGATGCATGAGCTTATCCTCAGAATGCATGCATGCGTTTATCAAATTCTCGAAGTGATGCATGCGCTTATCCTCGGTATGCATGTATGTGCTTATCAAATCCAAACTTTCGTCTAATATACTGCGGGGTTTACAGAAAAAGCATAAACAAAAATTGTAAGTTTACTATATCAATGTAAATTTTAACATTGGTTGTAAACACTGAAAAAGATTGAATAGACTTTGTTACGGTCAAGTTGAAGATTGGTCAAGTATGAATTGACCTTTAATTCACCCATGCGGAAGAGGAAACTTTGTTCAGATATTTGCTTATTGCTTTTGTTACTGTTGTTCACTTGTTTCAAATTAAATATTAATACTAGCTTTTCAATTCTTTGATATTTTCAAATAATATTTAAAATTAATTAGAAATTACTGGGCAATTTAGTAAATGCGCAATATGAAATTTGAGAAATCTTTCAAAATTTTTCAAAATTTTCTTTCAAAATTTCAAAAAATGAATATTTGTTATCTTTGAAGACATAATAAGATCATTTTTAAGTGAACTGAGATAGAAACATTTGGTGATCACTATAAAAAACAATCGGGAAAGAATGTTAAATGGAAGGAATAGCACAAAGAATAAAATACTCCAATAAATTACTATTTCAAATGTAAACTATTGATATAAAACAAATAATTCTGATATAAGTTAAGATTTTTTCAAAGCAATTAATTTTTGCAAACATGTAAAATGAAATAATACATTTGCAGGTAATTTCGGTAATATCTATATTTTTTGTGATCACGTCAATAATTTGTTTCTGTTTAAAGACACATCCAAATTTACGTGTTCCGGATATTGATATTGAACTCAAGAATGATTCTACTCATATATTGTTTATCAGGAAAACCGCTACAAGGTAACATTCTTCAACTGTTTAAATTATATTAATTACTCAATATTCCATGCAAAAATATTTCATCTCAACGTTTTTTAAAACATAATTTATTATTGCTCGTTTAAATTATCCGATCATTAATATTTAAAGTATACATTACTTTTATATGTTTTTTCGAAAAAGATTTACATAGTTCGGTGTATTGTTAGTACCACTTTTTGTTCTCTTAAAAATCGAAGATAACACAATTTTGATATATTGAAAAACCATCAGGTTATAATATAAAATTTTATGAAATTCCATCATAAAACAGAGAATAAGGGAAACTTTAAATAATGAGGAATAATTGCTGAGATTAATCCTATGCTTCTTGAAAAAGGAAATTTGGAAGAGTTGTAAGTTAATTTAGTAGTTGTTAACAGTATCAGACAATCAAAAAATAGCGAAATGCATTTGTTCCTAAAGATCGGAGAGTGATCAAAGAATATCCATTTAATTATTTTAACAATTCATTTATCTTATTCTGGTAATAATTATAATGCAGTTAAATGTAACGTCTAACATTGAAAACGATTTTATACGCATCTCGATGAGTCAGTAAACAACAAGACAAACAAACAAATAAATTAAAAACATGAAAATGAATATTAAAATTACAATTTATATTTTTCGGAATTGTTTCAGAGCACATGTAGCTTTCTTTTACATTGAAGTTATCAGTAATGTATGGTTTACAATGGAATTGTTCATTCGTTTTCTATTTTGCCCGAAAATAGCGAAGTTTGCTCGACAGCCAGTCAATGTTATCGGTAACTTATAATTTATCTATTATACCTGCATTTTCCCTGCGCATAATTATCTATTTATTTTCGTAGGTATGCTTGCATTAATCATACTATAGTGTAATTTTTTTTAAATGGGATAATTTAAAAATTTTGTACTTGTCGCAATTAACAACAAACACTATTACTTGTGTATTTAAATTATATTATTTTGCTTCACTTTAATTTTTTACTCATCTTTTTTTCAGACTTAATAGCGACATTGTCATTTTACGTTGACTGGGCGTTGGATCGAGTAGTAACCGGTGCTAATCGTGATACTGTTGAATTCCTTTCCATTGTTCGAATTTTACGATTGTTCAAATTGACGCAGCATTCCTCGGGATTGAAAATTCTAATTCAAACATTTAAGGCTTCTGCACAAGTACACTTAACTGAAATAGTTTATAAATGTTGGCATGCAACAATAAATTAAACAGATAAAAATGTAGCTGCTTAATTAAAAGCATTTTCTAATTTTTTACCCTTTCTTCAGCGTTTTTCCACTGCCATAAACGTTCTAAGTAACTTTATTAAAAATCAATTTGGCATTTGATTTTCATATTCAATTATTAAATTCATTAAGGAATTACTGCTATTGGTATTTTTTGTGCTACTTGGCATAGTAATATTTGCTGCATTGGTTTATTATGCGGAACGAGTAGAAACGAATCCCGGCAATCAATTTCACTCTATTCCCGTCGGATTGTGGTGTAAGTGTTACTGTATTCTTTAAGACTTTGAGAAGCAAGATGAAATTGACCACTGACATTTAAAATTCATCGAAATACCGCAATTGCTTAATACATTTTTAAATAGATGCAAAAAGAATTGAAGGAATAAGGAATACTTTGACCAATCGCTTTAAGGTATGATTTAAATTTAATGAAATACGGATTCGAAAAATGATGTTTATTTTTTCGAAAATATGCATTTTCTATATTTATAGGGGCAATCATTACTATGTGCACAATTGGCTTTGGAGATATGGTAAGTTCTTAGTTTGTGGAATTTTGCTTATAATTGACATAAAAATTGTTTTAATAAATTTTGAAATGAATATTATGAAAAAAGGAAAAGCTAATCGATGGTTGCAGTAAATATAGGAGTTAAGGTATAGGAGTTATAGGAGTTAAAGTATTTCTTATCACTGCTTGATTCATCTCAAACAAATCTACACAATTTCATTTCACTCATTGAAATTTCATCCAATTTATCAATAAGCGCTAATTTCACTTACATATATCTAAATCTATTTAGTGTAATTAGACAATATGATTGATTTTAAAAAGAATGGTCAAATTAATTACAGGTACCAAAAACATATTTGGGTATGTTGGTCGGTTCGATTTGCGCATTAATGGGAGTGCTAACAATTGCACTTCCAGTTCCGGTTATTGTTTCCAATTTTGCAATGTTTTATTCACATGCCCAAGCACGGTAAATTTTTGATATTTTTTATTTTTTTGTTTTATCAATTAAATGCCTCCACTAATTCATAAATTTTGCTAAAATTTATTTTTACCCATTTTATTTCAGTTCTCGTTTTAAAATTTCAGGTCGAAATTACCGAAAAAACGACGCCGTATTTTACAACCATATGAAATTAAACCAATGGTTGGAAAATTAGCAGGTATAGGACTTTTCAATGATTTGGCACATAAAAACGTCCCACCGGTTCATTCATCAAATGTATTGGAAGCTTTAACGGCAGCAACTCCAGTATTGATGTATCAATCGGGACATCGTTAATTTACAAACAAACAAAACCAACCAAATTCATCAATATATGAATAACAAAAGTAATACATCGGAGATTATTATAAACAATTGATACGTTAGAGAAGTGTATGATTGTCTACAAAATTATTAAATGTTTGAAATTGTTAAGCGATGTATGGAAGGAATGAAAAAGTAATATTTAATAGTAATAAAAAAAACAATATTTTTCAAAATAATATTTTCCAAATATTAATTATTTTTCTCAAAGATATCTTGAATTTCGTTTTAGTATGTATTTGAAGCGTAAGAAGATTCCGTAATATTATTTGTCAAATTGATTTTTGCAGGAGAAGAATTGAGTTAATTAATAGAAAGAAAAATAAATTTAATATTTACAGGAAAAGAGAAATGAAATGGGCCGTTTGATTAATTTTTTCATAATTATAATTACTGTATTTCATATTTCATAAGTGAAATTAAAATTTATGAAAGGTAAAAAATCTCGGGTCAATTTACTTAGTAAGATATAAAAGCTTCCTCATATACTTTTTTTCCGAGTGATGAAAATGTAATTATTAAAGCATTTCTTTTTTCATCGCTGAATAATGAAAAATACATACAAAATACAATAATTAGCATTATCATTTTTATTATCATTACTGTTATTACCACATCACTATTGTTATTACTGATACTGTGAACAAAAATTAAATGTGACTTCAAAGTTCAAAATCTGTCGGGATCGAATTTCTTGATTGTACAAACCGGTCTAGCATACGATCATTCGAATGTCATTCTACCAATAATATGAACCCGTACCTGCTGTAAAGTGGTTTTTTTTACCATTCAAATCTTAGGCAATCGGGAGAAGAGTAAAGAAAAAGTCAAAGTGGATGCGTTAGAGATGTCGGAAAAATATGTATTTTTCGGAGGGATGAAAGTTGGGAAGCCGCTATTTCCTTCGTTGCTTTCTGGATCCCTTAGAAAACCTATTCCTAATTTTTCAAATTTTTATCAGTCAATAAAAAATCATTGGTCTTACTTTCACTCACAATCATTATCATTACACAAAAGATTTTAGTGAAGTTTGAAAGATGACTTAATTTAAAAATAAGCATAATTCCAAATGGAAGTGTGATAATTGAAATCATAGAAGCAATCAATTAATGCATTTCATAAGAATTAAAAAAAATCACTGGCGAAATAGATTGCTGGCTAGTACTGAGAGGTACCGAATAATTGTCCTTTGGTATCCGTTCTGAAAGATAAAAAATTATTACTCCAATGTTGATTTACAAAAACAAACCATATAGTTCGTAAAAGTGTAGGGTGAAGACTTCTCGAATTTCGAGTGATGGTTAGAATAGATCCATACGTAAAATCCATACGTATTCACGCATGGATCTATTCTACACACTTTATGAAGTTAATAATGCCATACAGCTGGAAAGAAAGAACTACGATTTGAAGAATATATCATCTGCTTCCAAAACCGGATAACATATCATTAGCAACAACTAGATTAAACGGTTTTCCTGACACTTCGCAAATTTGTTTTTATAAACATCTCAAAAAATTACATCTGCAACAAAAAGCAGAACTTTCATTCTTTATAATTCATTATCATCTTTATCATCATTCATCTTTATCTTTATCATTCATTATCATTTCCTGCTCTAGCTCAATTTAAGCTATTATCAAATTTTGACAAAATAAAACAATGAAGTAGTAAATCGGAGCTAACCAAATAAGCAAAAAATTTAGCAATAATAGATTAGAATGATATGAGAATATTAGAATTAAACTGTAAACTGATAGAAGACTATCATAGAAGACTATCATTAGAGAAGGATTGAATATTAGAATAATCATTGATTAGTAATAATGCTGATAATGAAATAATGATGAAAATAGTATGAAAATGATAATAATAATACTGATAATAATAATAGCAATAACAATACGACAATAATAACGATAATAATAACAATAATAATGATAGTATAATAAAATAATAATAAATAAATCAAAATGACCGATGAATTCAAGAATTCTCGGGTAAGTATTCAGAAGGAAGAATAATATTTAATATGTAAAAGTGTTAAAAAATTTTCTGCTTCATAAAAAGATATAACTTTGGTATTAAAAAAATGATGTGAAATCAATAATTCATAAATGATTTTTAAGCCATTCAAAACTTTACAAATTGAATAAATTATAATGTCCAATAGAAAGGATTAAATTTAAGAGAATTTAATTGGCAAATTAAACAATTGGCTAGCCAAATGACTGACCACTGTCCACTAACTAATATGAAATATTATAATTTCATAAAAAGAATTATTCTGCTCATATGCTTGACAAATTTAAATTGGATATATTTTATTGAAAAAGTTAAAATATCGATTTGCTTGAAAAACAAAATATTTATCAAAAAGTTATGTTTGTTTGATAAAGACAGAAATTAGCTGGAAAAGTTGAAATTAACAAATTTAAATTTTGTATCGTATCTCAAACAAATTCTACTTTGCAAAATATATCAAAATAAATTTCATTTTCATTATTTTATATAATAATAACAATAATAATAATAATAATAACAATAATAATAATAATAAGTCATATGATAGTTCTTTGATATATTCATAGGATTCAACATTGTGGAACGAAAATTTTACATTTAATAATTGTGAATTAAATAATAGTAATCTCAAATAAATTCATTTTATATTTTCGTTCCTACAAAAATATTATCTTGCAGTGTTGATGATTGTTATTTAATAAATTTGAATAACTCATATTTAAGTTTTATAAATTTTTAAAATTTTAAAATTTATATTTTTCCGAATTGTTTTTTTTATGGCTTATTTTTTACTTTCATAAATAATATTTTTTCCTATAAAATATTCACATTTTCTTTGTATCGTTCGTTTTTAAGTTGTAAAAAATTGTTTGATATATATAAATTTAAATTTGAATAAATTTTCAAAAGAAAGAAATCGGGCAGTCGGGCGCTGTCACTACTGCGTACAGTTTAGATATATAATCTTTTTCTTTTGAAATTTAAGAATAGCATAAAATGAAAGAGAGATATGAATGAACAGAAATGCTTCATTTTTTTGTTCTACGTTTTTCTAATCTGTCATTAATTATTATTGTTTATAAATTAAGCCTAATTTCTGAAAGTAAACTTTTCAGTATTTTTTCCTTTATCAATTCTATATTCAGGTAGTAAAAATTATCCGATTAATTTTTATCAAACAAATTCATATCATTTATTCCACAAAAGAGTTCTATACCAAATATAATCTATACAAGTAATGACAAACAGCGATCTTAATCTTTCTTTAATTCAAATTAATTTTTAATAAAAATAATCTTTTAATTTTTTTTTTATTGAACAATAATAGTTTAGAGATAAAATGTTTTGCATATATATCGTATTAGAGAAATTGTGGCTGTCTAGAATATCTCAATTTTAAATCATTAAAAACAAATAAACGAAAACATTAAGTAAGTATAAGTAAAGTATAAGTAAATTTCTCCTTCTTTTGCAAAACAAAAAAAAGCTAAAAATGAACTATTATCCTTCTGGCGTTTAATTTAATTTAAAACTCAACTGGCTTATTGACAGTCGCGCAATGAATTTATTGTTCTTTAATTTTTTGCCAATTAAATGAACGGTATCGAAAGGAATTTTAAGGTTTATCATTGAAATTTAATTAATGTGAGAATATTTAATAACGTAAATATTGATGGCAAATATTTTATGCAACAAATTTTACTAATTTCATATTATTAACATTTCTTTTTCGTTTTGGTTATTTGTAGTATCTGAAGCGCTCTTGGCAAGGTTTTATTGTTTTAGCATAAGATGACAAATAGCAAATAATCCCAACCGGAATTTTATATTTTCGTTTGATCCGTTTGATCCGTAAATGTATCTAAATTTAATTTTTCATTTTAACAAGTTAAGAATAAAATACAATTCTAGAAAAGAGTTAAGTTTCTTTTTGTTTACTTTCATTTAATTAATATTTCAATGGAAATGTAAATTTATTGTCTTTCCGTACTATATGATAACACCGGAAATATTAAATATGAAAACAGGTATGAAGAAAAATTATTTATAACAGGTCTATTTTAATAAATTTTTGAAATAAACAAATCTCTACGAAAATTTCATTTAAAGATTTTTTTTATTTGTTTATAAATAATTAAAAGAAAATAAATGATATGTAAATTTTTCTTTTGTTTCTTTAACAAATTAATTTTTAAAAACAAAAAACGATTAAATCAATATGGAATATAAATATGAATCTATTCAAATATCTCAATATATGAACAGACAAAAACAACGAAAACTAAATGATATGCATTCGTTTGCATCAGAAATGTATTCCTTTCCGAAAACAGAATCAAAATTCATTAAAACCAAAATCGATAATACCTATAGTTTGATTAATTCACAACAAGAAAGAGAGAGAGAGAGAGGGAGAAATGATGTATCATATCATGAAAAATAATCATTTCCGGTATGAGACATACATTAAAATAACAGGAAAGAGTAATAGTGGATGATTTGAGGAGATTGTTTGAAAAGAATTCGTATATCATTTTTGATAACGCCAAAAATTTTGTAATCAACAAAGAATTCATTGTGTATATTGTTTAATGCTAAAGCTGACAACTAAATTTAGCTTTTAAAAAATCATGCATAAAATTTTATTCTTTGTAACGATGATACATCTTCTTCCCTTTTTTCTATGACAAATGTTGCAGATGTGTTTTTCGATGATTTTAAATCAAATAATTATTTAAATCATCTATGCTAAATCATATATGTCTTATATCATATCATTCATCCAATTGATAATGGCATTTTTGCTTTGTAATTAATTCAAATTCATTTTAAATCAAATAATTAAATAATTATTTAAACTGTCTATATTAAATCTTTTGTCTCATATCATATCATTCATTAATTCATTTATCTATAGATAATGATAGTTTTGTTTCTAATTAATTCA